CCGTGCGGGCGGCAGGGGAAAGCAGAAGGCCCTGGCACAGAGTTTTGTACTGCACAGAACCGTTCTAGTTGAAGACGGCAAAGCCTCGGAGACTTTCCAGGGAGATGGCCCGCTGTGTTTGTCTTCTCGTTCAGCGAGTCTTCCCCTTGAGCCTGTGCTGGAACTGCGAGCTGTTATTACAGCCACATTATAAAAGCCATTTATAACGGCAGCTGTTCCCCCCTTCGGAGCTGGCTGAGTCTTCCCACTGAAGTCCTAAGGGGGTTTTGGGAATCCCTGTCGAACAGGGGTTAAGGCCCACAGGGTAAACTCAGTGTGAGTAACAGCACCCTTTTGTCCTTTGATTCTGTGGACCTTCACTTTCTTTATTTCACACATTTCATTGTTCTTCGCTGTGTGCCACATCAGTCACCACGGTGACCTGACAGTTGTGTGCCTAGTAGCACAGTGTCCCTGTGACTTTATACCTGGGGGGGTGTGGGGAGAAGCACTTTCATGGGGTTTCAGCCTCGAGGCCGTGGGAAGGAGGAGGACTCGAGGGGCAGTAACATTCGGCCTTCTCCCATGGGATTTTGGCAATGGCCAAGGGAGACCTGTGGTAGGTTTTGTTTTGCCACCAGACAAAGCCCTGGATATTCCGTTGCCAAGTTCAGCCTTAGTAGCCCTCTTTTCAGCAAATAAAGGCAAAAGCCTTGAAGCTTTAGGAGGGAGCTGCACAAGTGGCAGGATAACCATCATTCACTGACTCTCTCTTCACTTACAAATCGACACCTTCCAGACTGCAGTCTGGAGAGGCCTTTGCCCCTCTGTTCCATCAGCCTTTATCTGTTTCTCCGAAGCCTTGTAAGCCCCTCCGCACACTTACTTCTCTCCCTGTGCTTCTCCGGATGTCAGCTGCTGGGCATGCACAGGCAGGATCTTAGGGCAAGAAGGCAACCTCAGGTGGTCCCTGCGCTCAGTCACGTGGTATTTCACAGCTCCAGTCCTCTGGTTCCTTGAATCAAAATAGTAATATTCAGGGAGCATTTTGGATCACTGTGCTGGTTTGCACAGTGCAGCATGCACTACAGTTGATGCCGACGTGACCGGTCTCAGCCGTCTGTGAGCCCGGAGTCTAGCAGGGAAGGGGATGAAGGAAGGGTGAGCAGTCACGGCATGTGTGGGGGTGAAGGGAGCACTGGGGTGTCCCTGGGACATTGGAGAGGGGATGTTGGAGCCAGTGTCTCCAGGGAGGATGACCCTGAGCCAAGTCCTGGAGAAGAGGCCGCGTGTTGCCATTTGAATGTGGGGCAAGAGGGTACATGGTGGATTCATGAACAAAGGCTTAAAGACTCGGTCTCTTAAGGAGTAACTAACTTCTAGAACTTGCCTTCTCTTTAGACCAGCATTAGGGCATTCCCCCAGAAGGTGTCTCAAGGAAAAAATATGTTGCAGCCGCCTTTAAGAAGTACCTAACAGGAAAGATGGGCGCAAAGTGGGGTTTCACGTGAAGCAGCGTCTGAAGGGCGAGCTGAAGTTAGTGAAATGCTCAGTGCGGGCACTATCCTGTCGTGATTGAGAGAGCTCGCTCTTTGGGGCTAAGTTTTGGTGAGCGCAGGAAGCTTGTTGTAATGATAACAAGGGCGTTCATTATCATTTAACCACAGCTGTCTTTTTCTGAAGAATTTAGGCCCTGTGCTTCACGCAGATACCTGAAGAATAAAATCCAGGTCAGCATGAAGCAAATAGAGAGTCCTAAGGCCTGGAGTCACGCACACACGAGAGGCTGGATTTTTAGGGCTGGCATCAGGCCTGTCGGCCCTGAAGGGGGCGGAGGAGAAAAGAGCTGGGGGAGCAGGTGGAAGGAGGAGACGTGGCTCCTCACCGAGGTTATGGCGAAGCCCGCAGACTGGGGCTCGTTGAAGTCAGGACCCTCAGCAGCTGTAACGCTGTGCTTTACAGCGTTACAGCTGCTCCTCTGCCTCTTCAGACATTTCTCTGTGGGGAGAGCAGCCCGGTAATAAAATGAGCAAGAACCACTCACCCCAGGGATTTGCACGTGGCTTCGGCCCCTCCTCGTGTACGGCGCCGCCCCAGCAGTTCATTCCGTTCCTCTGGGGACCTAAGTCAGGGAAACGAGGCAGTCAGAGAGAACTACAGCACAAAGGATTTAAGGGACCCAATAGTCATTGACAGAAGTGACAGAGTTAAGCAAAACTGGGCCTTTGGGCTTCTCATGTATGGTGTTCTTTGCTACCACACTACACTGTGTCTCCTTTTTTTTAGGATTTATTTTTAAATGCTAAGGTATCATCATTTATGCCTCCTTTGTGCATCATTAATCTACGCAGCTGCCCCGGCGTGTGCAGGGCTCAGCCCGGCATGGTTGGAAGAGCGTGCAGAGTGGGGTGGCTCATCCCCCAGCTTCGTGGCTGTTGTTGAATATTGAAGCCGTGACATTCTGAAGTCTTTCTGCATTTCATTTTCTCTTTCTCCTTGGGCTCTGTATGTCTTGGAGCCAAACGCAAGTGGGGTCACCTAGCTACGTTGTTCTCACTGCAGGATTACATGTGGTGCCTGTTTCGTAGGCCTGCCTTGTGGTCTGCCCACGTGGGTGGTGCGTTTTCATTGGTTTTGTGGGTCTCAGGAATTCTATTCAGGCCACCTTTATGCAGGAACTTAAGAGCTGGGAGGTTGTAGATATGTTCGATGTAAACTGTAGAAACAGTCCGACCCTACCTAACATTTATTGAGCACTTACTGAGTACTCCGCACATGCATCTGTCTCGTCGAGCTTCCCAAGAACCTGGTGTCGGCGGGGCAGCCCAGGAGCCTTCCACAGCTCGCGTGGAGCAGAGTCAGGCTTTGCTCGTGGGTCCTTTGGCTGCAGCCTGCACTGTGGCCCAGAGGCTCTGCCGTTTACACAGAAAGGGATCTTTAAAGGCCTCTGTTGGTGGGGTACAGTTAATTCTGTCCGCCGAAATTCACGATTCCTCCAAAAGCAGAGTTGGTTTGTTTATTAACATCCAAGGGGCTGCTTTCACGCTAGATGCAGATCTTGCTCAAATAATGAGAAGAAAAGTGAGAGCTCCCTGCAGAGAATGTCCTTCCAAGGCTCACAGGTTGCCCACTTGGTTCACAGACAGACGGGGAATTTGTTGCCATGGGCCCTATTTCGGTTACATTACATGTAAGGAGACCTGGCAACTGTGGAAGTTCGAATAGTCATCATTAATTTCAGCTCTTTAATTAAGCTTCTGTGACACGTGCACACTTCCTTTGAAATCTGGAAAGGAAAAGAGATCATTAAAAATGAAGTGAAAATGAGGTTTTATTTCTACAGCTATAAATTTTCTTATACAGCAAGATCCAGAAGCATATAACTTGTTATTAAAGGTATAATGTCTAACCACTTAATATGTATTTAGCACTAGTTTTGAATAATTAAAGTAATAGAGTTTATCCTCTTTTGAAATCCACCCATGATTCCCAGTAGACTTCCCTTTTCCACCTCATTCATTCAGAAAATAGTGCATTCCTTCAGTGCCACGCGCTGGGTTTGGTGCACGAAAACCTTTTGATCACTGGTGTGTTGGTGAGCTGGCAGGTTAGCACAGGAGTACGATCCTCTCTGTCAGCCCCAGTTATCCGGAATCCCTTGCTTCCCTATGACATGCACTTGGTCTGAGCGCTTCTGAGAGCGACAGGAGCCAGGTGGCAGGTGCCTGTCGCAGCCGGTGAACACTGAGAAGGCTCAAGATGATGGTGACATTCTGTGTGATGCTTTCAGACCCAGAAAGGAGGCAATCAGAGCATTTTGCCATTTTTAGTAGAACGTCTAGAGTGTGGTAGGTTAGCCGTCAGCCTCAAGGGAAATACTAATTCGGGCTCCTGGTGCTTTGCTGCTTAGAAAGGAGCTTCTTGCCATTGGAGACAATGAATGACCTGGAGACCAGACAATGACCTGGAGACCAGATCCTCAGAACCCGTGTCTCCACCACATCTGGGGGGTGGGGGTGGGGCAGGGGGTTAATGGCTCAAAGCCTGCTTTCCACACTGTCTCTCTTTTATTTTATGGTTGAAGAAAGGGAACCGTGGCTAGAGAAAATTTGGGAAGCATGTGGATTTAGGCCAGTGAACAAAGGAGGCTCAGACTGGAGGGAAAGCCCGGAGCTGCTTGAGAAAGTGGCTGCAGTCTCGCTTCACGGCGCTGCCCGGCCTGGCTGTGAACAGCCACTGCAGGCATTTCATCGGTGGGGTGGGAGTGCTGACCGGGAGGTGCGTGTGTGTTGTGGCAGCTCCGCTGCAGAGCTGGGGGTGCTGGAGGTGGGCCACAGGGGGTGGAGTCTGCACGGCCCCCGTGAGGAGTTAGCTGGTGACACCTGCAACTGATCACCCACGAATCCGCATGGGTGGCCAGCTTCGTATTTTAAACTACAGAGGGAGGAAGGAAATGTATGGAGGTATGCCAATGATATAAAAGAAAACACACAAAAAACATTAAAATTGATTCCTATTGAGAGCAGGTCTAAGGGTACTGAGGGGGGTAAGGACTGCTGGATTCTGTAGATATATTAGTTTTTTAACAAGTAAATTTTTAAAGGGACATACTGCATTTGTATTTTGTGTGTGCTTCCTTCCTACTTCTGATAAATACTGGTTCATGTCTGTCAAGAAGCCCATTCCCTGGAAGAGAATAATAAGCCAGGTACAAAAAGTGAAACTCCTCATTCCATGACATAAGGAGTGAGGCTTGAGGGCTTGAGAAACCTCGTTCACTGCAGGGTGGTTCCCAGGTACATCAGTCACGCCCTTGGCTATTCACGTGGTGTCCTCCCTAAACCATTTGAGGGACCCAAGCTGCCCCCAGAGACAGTAGAAGCATGAGTGTGCGAAGCCTCCGAACCAGCCTACACTCGGGAGACAGTTTCTCTGATGGTTCCTGTCTGCCTGTAGGTATATCAGGCCTAAGTGAAAATTGGTCCCTAACCTCTCTTTTCAATGTGTCTTTTTTAAAACAGGGAAATGCACATAAAATAATGGAGAAATGTACATTGCCACTAACTGGAAAACAATGTGTCAACCGCATCATCACTGAAAAGGTAAAGTGCCTTTGTCTTTTTATTTCCTCTGCCTGCCACCACCATTTTTATTTATAAGCATTTTTAGGATTCTTTTCTGTTACCTTCTGAAAATGTATTACATTGGTAGTTGTAGGATTAGTTTAATAGTACGATCCGTGGAAGGACTGAATACGAGAATTCATCACTTTAATGTTTAGAAATGTAGAATTTGTAATGTGCAACTCCCTGGAAATATGCATCGGCACGCAGAATTGAATTAGTGTCCTTAGTCATTTTGACAGTGTGATACAGTCAAGTTTTATTGGTCATTATGCTTGGACTGTAAATACACAAAGGCCACCATACACTTATTATTTCTACCTTTCTTCTTTGTTTTCCCAAATCACAAGTACGAATTGTTGGATTTTAGCTTAGGAAACTCAGAAAAAGTCGGGCTTTACTCATGTGGGTGCAAATTGCGGGGCAGAGCCCACAGCGAACCGGTGACTATTGTCTGTGGTTTGCACCTGTCTCCTGCCCTCCTGTGCAGAGTGGACTTCAGTGTTTTGCATTGATTTCTTCTCAGACAGAGAAATGGCTCAATGGGAAGCTGCTCCAATCGGAGAGAAGCCCCAGGCAGCTGTCTGCCACCTTCTTTCCGACCCGCAGTTGAAGCACCGGTGTAGGAAAGATGTAGTTCTCCTACCTGAGTGAGCAAGGAGGGTGTCAGCTTCTTGATTCAGCGTTTTGATGAAACCACCAAACAGTATTCTCTGTATCAGGCTTCGTTGGCTGGTTGGTTTTTCTGTTAATGATGCTGCTCCTTTGCCGAGAGCCCAGCAGACTGTCTCTGCATTAATCTGGTCGCTCGCCCTCATGGAAGTGGTAACCAGCGCCCCAAAGCAGCCCTTGGAAGTAGCCTGGGAGGTCATCAGACTCTGCAGAAGCCACATTTCAAGGGCTGTTCTGTTCTAAATGCTGCCTTTCCCCATGACTTCCTATGTGGAATTCCACAAAGAAGCCTTGGTAGAAGAGCAAGTGGATATAAGAGCAGGATGTGTGATCTCGGGATTGCTTCCCTGAGTCTCACCGCGCCTGGAACCGCTCCCAAACCGCGGGCAGCACTTGTTCACAGGGACCCATTACAGTCGACCCTCGGATGGCACGGGTTCGAACTGTGTGGGTCCATTCGCGCGCAGGTTTTTTCAATAAAAACTGTAAATGTATTTTCTCTTCCTTGTGATTTTCTTAACATTTTTCTCCAGCTTACTTTATTACAAGAATATGGTATATGACACATATAACATACAAAATACATATTCATTGACAGTTTCTGCTCTTGGTAAGCTTCTGGTCAACAATAGGCTATTGAGTTTTGGGGAGTCAAAAGTCGCACGCAAATTTTTGGCCGTGTGGAGGTCAGTGCCTCAAACTCCTGTGTTGTTCAAAGGTCAGCTGTACTTTGAAAATAGAGACAAAGCTGTCCTTGATCTCGTACAGCTTTACCGATAATTCCAGCCACACTGTCCCCCATCCTCTCTCCTCCCGATAGGCCCTGGGCCTGCCCCCTGTCCTTGCGTGCCCTGCCCCTGTCCTCAGTTCGGGGCTCCTGCCTGCAGTACCTCCCCCAGCCCTCCGCCTCCCCCAGCCCTCCCCGCCCTTTAACCCCAGTCCAGTTTCCTGCTTGATCACGAGGAGATTTCTGACCATCTCCGCTCTCACCGTTTCATCCCCAGAGTGATCCACCATTCATTCATTCTGGCACTTGAATAACCTATGTTTTCTTGTGACACGACATTGTTATTTAATGTTCCATTTAAAAAACCTTTATACCCTCTTTCTCCACCCACACTGTTGTTTTATTTGTTCCTTCATTACTGAGCATTTTGTGAGAACCTTCACTGAACTAGACTGTTCCCAACGATGGCCGCAGAAAGGCGGAGGGTGGCCCCGCCCCCAGGAGCACGTTCGGCAGGGGCAGACAGCGAGCATCCAGCGGCAGCTGTTAGAGTGACAGACACGATAAAGGCCATGGGGGCCACGGGAGCTGGTGCTGAGGGAGGAGCAGGAACGTGGGGGAGGCTGCCCAACAGCCTGGGGGATGTGGCGGAGAAAGCTTGGCTTTTCCTGTGTCTTGCAAGGCATTTTACAGTGGGTACCCCTCCCCCTCCAGTTTTAGTTTCTCACTTCTGGCCCCACTTCAGCCACACGGAGTGCCCCGACCACGGTCTTCTTTGCACACCCTGTCTCGCTCCTCCGAATAGTCTCCGCACCCCATCCATCTGGCCGATTGTTCCTCGTCTTGATGTCTCAGCTGTAAATTTCTTTCTACAAGTCTTCCCTGCCCTCTGCAACCCCAAGTCTTCTGGGTGCTTCACTGAGCCCCAGGACTCACTGTAGCTTAGCATGGACCTCTGAGCTCTGCCGCAAGAAGACTCTGTCCATTCAACACTTCGTGTGGCACTTGCCCACCCATGGCTGGTGCCTGCTGGAGGCATGTGCTGAGCTTTTCCTGGCGAGAACTGGCAGATTGAGTGATGAGTCTCAAAAGACAAGTAGGAGTTTTACGAGTGAGAATAAGACCAAAGAAGCTCTTCCGGGCCAAGGGGAAACAAAAGAGGCGGAGCCATGCAGGTGTTAAAGAAACACGACACACTCGGGCACACGTGAGTGGAACAGCAGGGAAGGAAGGCGTGGCCAGGTTCAGAAGGCTGACGCTGAGGGGACTTCAAAAGACACCCGGCTAGGACGGAATGTGAATGCCTTGCTGGGAAGTTTGGGTTGTATCTGGGAGCCTTTCCGTGATTCTTAGTGGCTGGGGACACAGTTAATTAGGTCTGTGATATAGAAAGATCACTGCAGCTTTCGTGTAGAGTGAGAGGAGAAGAGATGAGACAGAGCCCAGAGACGAGGCCCATTCTGCGACCTGGGCCAGAAAGGTCAAGGTCCTGAGGCCCGGGACAGAAACAGCTTCAAAGGGGTTTAATGACGAACTCCACCTAACTCGAGGAGGAACGGGACGTGACTGCAGAGGCGATTTCTGCGTTTTCTGGCTGGAGGCGTGGCGGCCTGCGGCGTCTGTAGGGGAGCTGGGGCTGTAGGAGGAGAACGGTGGAACCCGACGGGGCAGGAGAGAGGAGCCTCGTTCGGACACTCTCAAGAGGACATTCCTGACCGACTTCGCGTCCTGCGCATCCAGGCAGATGGGCCTGGCCGAGAGTTGTGGGTGTGTACGTGGAGCCCAGAAGAAAAATCACTTTCGGAACAAAGTTGGGGACTCATCAGCACCTGGGGATAAGCAGAGCCCGGACTGTAGATGACGTTTTAGCAGAACTGAGTTTCGTGAAAGGCGGACAGTGCGGAACTTCAGGAACCTCAGGGGAAAGTGGTGGGCACATCCCCCCCCCACCGCACCCCCCCTGCTCTGTGCAGCAGGCGCTGGATAAATGTTCGCTGAGGGAGTAAGTGACAGTGCACTGCCACTAAGACAGCAAATGGGGACAGTCCTGCCACCGCAGATGTGGGACTGGAACTCCATGTTCAGTCTCCAGGAACATTCCGTCAGTCTCCTATTTGAAGGAGGCTCTGCAGATGATCTGACCCTGATGTCCAAGTGTCCTGTTGCTAGGCTGAGGTGGTGAGAGGGCCTTCTTCACCAGCCCCCAGGCCCTGGTTAGCAGCTTTGTCGACTTGTATGGTGGTAATAGAACAATGTATTCATATGCAAAATAAATAGAGCAGTTGCAATACTATCCTTGGTAGTTGAACAATATCGTATAACTTTTAGGTTTTCATTTCCATTTTAATCGGGTTTTTGCCGCCACTTTGTACCACTAGATAAGAATCTTCCTAAATGTTTCTGAAGTAAATAACAGATGCTTGGCCTTGTTACATCCGGTACATGGCTTCAAGAGCTAGTTAGGGTCGGATAAGGATTTTAATAAAAGTTTCTGTGAAAGCAGTCATTCAGTTTACCAGAAAGTTTCTCCCCCTTGTCACTGAAACCGTATGTTCACAATGCCATCGTCATCTCCTCCCTGAATCCCTCCTGCCTGTTCGAAATAACATAATCTGGAGGCTTCATTTCTCTGATTCGTTCCATTTTGATAAATTTACAGTTGTTTATGGCACACAGAAAAGTGTATCAGTATGAACAGTGCTCCAGACACTTTTCCTGCAAAGAAAAAGGATTCATTTAAACAAAATTTTAATTGTCAATTTGGAATTAAATAACCTAATGCATCCTGCAGACATTCCTAAGTGGCCATTTTTTTCCTTCTCCAAATAAATATTCCTGCTGATAAAAAGGTTTTGTTAGAAACATAAAAATGTGTAAACAAAGAGTAAGTTTGTGGAAATATTTCCTCCTAATTTAAACCATCTTTTCTAGCAAAATCAGCTAAGTTATCTGTGAATTCATCAAATAGAGAATGTAAGTGTGTCACTGGGGAGAAATAGCAATTAACCGGAGACAGATAAGCATCTGGGGGCTTTGATCGGGGCTCACACGCAGGTGAGAATAAGTTAAGCCATTCAGGAGAAAGAGCATTGGGCCCCTGCTCTGTCCCAGGCAGATGCCAGGTACGGAGAATATGACTGTCATTATGTTTGTCCTGGGTAATGACCTTGGGAGGCAGAGGGATTTTTCTTTGTTTATTATTTTATTTTATTATTTTATTTTTATATCCTTCTTCAGATGCAAAGCTATCTTCACCAAAGATAGCAAAGCTCTAAGCTGGCTTCTTCCCTCTGTAAGTGTGTGTTCCTGTCAGCCTCCTAACCAGGAGCGTGTTTAAAAACGACATTCGAGGGTTTGACTTCCAAGCCAGCTGAAAATAAAGATTTTAAGCCTGAAATGATATTGTTGTTGAACGCGAGGTCAGTCCTCTCCTGCAGGAGAGGAACGATCTGGGCAGTCTCACCATAACGTCTGAGGAGGCAGAAAACCGAGAGGGGAAGTGCCTGTTAAACGGGGCCAGGAACCAGCATTTAGGGTCCCAGGGGAGCAGTCTGGGCTCCGATGCCTGGAGCTTCCCCTCCGCAGTCTGCCTTGGGACAGGTGAGCCGCCTGCCTCTAGAAGTTTCTAAGCAGAGCCCCAGTGACCATTTCAGTAGAAAGTTTGGAAGACTTCTTGGGTGGGAAGTTACACTAAGTGACTTGGCCAGTCTCTTCTACTCCAGTCGTCACATAACTAAGTGTGATAGCATGTGCTCCAAATCAGGAACAACAGGCTAAGTCCGCCTGCAGGGGTCAGGTTGGACCACCTGGCACCACCACGGCCACCGTGTGTTGCCCACCAGCGTGTAGTGAGGGAATGTTGGGGGGAGGTTAGCCTCCTCCCCCACTCGGACGGAGGCACCTTCATTCATTTGCATTCTACAGGGAGCTCCCCTGGCTGTGCTACCCTCTCCCACCTATGTGGTTTTACAGGACCTGGGGAAAGTTTTAATATTTACAGTGTGCCTGGCGGGGGGGGTCTCCCAGGGCCAGGCCAGCCCTGTAGTTACTCGCAGCCACTTCAGAGCACCTGCTTGTGTTTCCTGGACTCTTTCCCGAGCAGCACTGACCAGCTTCCCCCAGTCACCCTTGGGCTTTCAGCTTCTGAATGTCTCCTCCTCCTTTCCTTTATTCTTTCCTCTCTTCAAATCACTTGTTAATCATCAAATTGAAGTGTTGACCAGAGTTATTAGACCTAACCAGAGTAAAGTAACGTTTAAAAAACTGGTTAGCCCTGACCCATGTGGCTTGGTTGGAGCACCATCCCACAAACTGAAAGGTCACCAGTTAGATTCCTCGTTGGGGCACGTGCTTGGGATGCGGGTTCGGTCCCTAGTCAGGACATGTACAAGAGCCAATCAGTTGATGTGTTTCTTACACATTGATATTTCTCTCCCTTCCCCTCAAACTCTTCAAAAAATGAAAAACTGGTTATAACAGTAGCAAGTGCCATACAGAGCCACCACTTGTCACTCTCTGGCATCAGCAGTGCTCCCCAGCCAATTGCCAGCAAAGTCACCGGCATTTGTTTCTTACCCAAATGGAATAGTTATGGTTGGCATTTCTTTCTTGGCTCATTTTCGGAGTCTTTTGTGCTGGGTCTGATCCTTCCTTTAAGAACTTGAGGGCTTGTTTCTGTCTCATGCTATAAAACGTTGACTCTGATGGCAATCGTCATCGCCATGTTCTTGACTCTGACAGGCCGTGTTTGACGTGGACAACAAGAAAGGGCTGACTCTGATTGAACTCTGGGAAGGCTTGACGGTGGACGACATACAAAGGAGCACAGGGTGTGATTTTGCGGTAAGTGCTTCCGTGAACAAATGCAGCCGCTTGTCCTGCCTCACCAGCTTGATGAATGTTCACAGGATGTGAACCGTTCATTTGGTACCGTTTTCGGGGTTGACCTCTGCAGAGACCAGCCATGGAAAGGAGGGGCCTCCAGATGAGAGCAGGGGGAGCAGGAACAGGCTCACACTCACAGGCCAGGGTTTGGCTCAGGCGTCAGGAGCAGGAATGGGCAGAACCACAGGAGGGGCTGGAAGTGGAAGGTCAAGCGAGCTTGAACTCGGAGCTGCTCTCTGTCAAGCCCCTTGCAACGCTCTGTCTTGGGCCACATGTCAGCGGTAGGTACGCGTGGTGAACTGATGTGGGCTGCACACAGAGACTTGATACTCCTTGTTTTTAAACCTGTCTGTGGCTTATGAATTTCTCTTCGGTTAGCTTCTGTGCCTAATTGTCCCATCTGTTGATGTTATTAGAATGCTGGGCTTCTGACACCACCAGATGACAGTCACAAAATAGGCGTAGCCTACACCTCAGAAAAGCCTAGTGCATAGAAACTCTGACTTACAAAAGTAGATAACTGTGTCCATTTGAGAAATCTCCAAATCCCTTTTTAAAGCAAAGAGAATAATACTGTAATATACAGGGTCTGTCAGGTCACACCTGCTTGAGTGTGGTTGGTAGGGTCATAATATGGGTGTAATAATTTATAGTTTTAATTTGAGCATTTCACCTAAAATGTCCTAGGGTGTGCTTGAGTATGATATTGTTATGTCACAGAATTACAGGCTTGTGATTTTGTAATAAAAGGGGAGTTATTTGTGCTGGAATTGCCTCTCTATAAACCACCCATCACCTACCTAATGGGGGTTGAGGAGATGGCTCAGTCCATTCGAAGTTAATCAGCAGTAAAGGCGAAATGTCCCCAAAGAAAGTGAAGGACAAGAATTTGCTTCTCACATACCCTTGTAAGAACAGGTCTACCAGTTAGAATGAAATATGTGTATAATACTGGGAACCGTTGCAGTTCGCATCCTGGAGAAAGTAATTTAACCAGACTTACTGGATAAAGCATGTGTTTCATACATTTCTTCCTTAGGTGCCGTACCCTTGGCCGGTGCCTGTCAGTGCATGGCAAATTTCTGTAAAAACAATTTTGCTGCATAATTAATTACCCACATACAACTGCTTCTGGTACTGTATGAAGGTCTTTGTCTATTAACCTTTTCTGAATTTCTCTTTGGAGAAAAGAAGTCTGCTAGCAATACCTCACACAAAGCACACATCTTTAATTACTTTTTCCATAACTTCAGGGGGTAAAAACCGGATTTGTCTCTAAGTATTTAGAATTCCTTACTCTTGTGATAAAAGAAAACAATTCTTACTTAATCAGCTTTTCTTCATTTTCCCCCTGGATTGGGTGAGTGGGCCTCCTCTTCAGCAGGCAGCATATTTGAGATCCACAAAATGTTCAGTTTTCTGCTGCCAAAGGGAATATACAAAGGAAGACCCTCATTGTTTTCTGTTTCTTTTTTAGTCGTGTGGGTAGATCAAGAATGAAAAACATAGTTTTACTGTTCTGCTTTGTCGTCATTTTTAAATGCCTGTTTCCATGTTTCGATACATTGAAAACTATCTGGAGGGTCCCTCCCATTACAATGTCACCTCCCCTGGCCTGGGGTGGACATGTAATGGTGTTTCCTGCAGATGAGGTGAGATGTCAATCTGTACGTCAGTGTTGTCTTGGGAATGAAAAGGTGTAGCGCCGGTTGAACCACCATCCTCAAAAGAACTAGCTTTGGAGGGTCCGACGATCGGGCACCTGTTTGGACCCTGGCCGACGGCATCGCTACAGCGGGTGGTTCTCTGTGAGGCAGGCGCTGGAGTGCACTGACTAATACAATGTTCTGCTCCATCGCTGGGTTATCAGCGAGATACATGCATATGAAAAGTGCATTGAGCACAGCATTTCCTGATCTGACATTTCGGAGGGTGTTTTGTGTTGTAGTTCACAAGCTACTCTGTGTGATTGTGACAGTACAGGTCGCGTTTATTCCACGTGTGACTGCAGCAAAGTCACTCAGGACTTGTGCTTGAGAAGAAGCCTGGTTAGCCTTCATAGCATAATGGAAAGTGAATGTTCTAGAAGGGAACACCCAGGTTGTTGTGTAATAAGGAAAAGTCAAAACCTAGGTCAAAGCAGTTGTGAAAATGTGTCGATACAAGTCCCTTACACCTGTGCAAATGGGCCAGTGAATGGCCACATGTACAGAATGTGGCTACAAGCTGATTGAGGAGAACTTCAAAGAAAAAGAAAAGTGTGACAGCCTCGGATAATAGGACATGACAAAATTGTGGTTTCTGTGTATTAAAAAATAACCGTTATAATGAACTATTTGGACATTTAACAAAAAAGAGTCACTATGGCTTTGCTGTGCACCACAGAGCAGTCAGCAGCAGCGGAAAATGGGGGCGGAAGTTGCGACCTTTACTTGTCACTGGAAACAGCTTTTAAAAAATTTGTTAGAGATGAATGAATATGCGGTGAGTCATATTTATGATATCGTGTCAGTTGAAAGGGAGATTTTTTTTTTTTCATTTGGTAGGAAAGTCTCTCAAGGGCCATATACTGAATATGTCTGGAACTCCAAAGGAGGCTGTGGAAGTTTTGTCATAGAAATGCAAATAGCAGCTATATTTCTGGAACCTTCCCCACACTCCCAAAATACTATTCTGGGCAGGAGTAGTTTACAGCAAGAGAAGCCCGCTTACAATGGACAGAGAGCTCGTTCCTTATGATCACTCTCCTTCAAAATGCAGCCGTTACAAAGAAAAGGATCTTCCTCTGTGTTTCTTGGTGGTTGAGTTCTGAGTCTATCCAGAGATGAGGGAGGAGCTGGGCTGGGAGAGGTAAAAATATCTCCGTCGTGGTGGAGGCTGGGATGGAGGGTGTGGCTTCGGTGGACAGCCGGGGCAGGCTCTCCAGATGCGGGTGGATGCGACCTCGGTCCCCAGTTCCGGGCAGCCCTGGAAAGCCTCAGGCTTTCTACACAGAGGTGAGCCTTTACCTCTGAGCTGCTTTCCCTGTGGCTGAGAGCAAAACAGTCCATGCTCCTGCGGAAGGCCATGAACGGTCAATAAAACAGAACAAATTGGCACAGTTACAACTCCCAAGGGTCGCGGTCCTGTTCTCCAGGCAGAAATACACCTGAAACCACCAGAGGCAAAACATTCAGAACACTACTTATCTTTATGTTTGCAATGGAATCTGAAAGAAGCCAGCTGCAGACATTCTTTGCCAAGTTGAGTAAATTTATACCCTCAATAACTATTGAGGAACTGGCCTTATATCAGAATTAAATAGTATGCTCTTGGGATTTCAGTGGACTACTGGGAAGACAAATCATTGGCTCATCTTCTACAGTAAACCCCATAGTCTTATGCTTAGCCTGTAGATCACCTTGGCAGGGTAATCTGCTTCAGCTTGTGTGAGTTCTCAATGTTGATGAGCCTGTAAGAGAAGAGAATGAAAAATGGTGGTTTAGTAGATGGTTTTCATTAAAAAACACAGGGGCCAATTCAGTCTATGTCAAGCTTCATCTTCTGATGAAACTCAGTTTCCACGTTGAGGATATAAATGATATTAAGAGCTCAAAATAGGGCCAACAGGACAAGAAAAAGGATCAGATGTTTCATGAGGAAACTACGGTGTCATTTTCTTTCTTTTTTTAGAAAAAAATTTTATTTATTTTCTTTTAGAGAGAGGGAGAGAAACATTGATTGGCTGCCTCTCATGCGCCCTGTACTGGGAACCTGGTCTGCACCCCAGGCCTGTGCCCTGACTGGGAATCCAGCCCGGGACCTTCCAGTTCACAGGCAGCTGCTCAGTTCACTGAGCCACACCAGCCAGGCCAGGTGTCATTTCCTTCTAAAGGAAATTCTATAAAGGCTCCATTAGAAATTATCTCTTTTCAAAAAAGCAAAGTTTTATTTCATGAAATTATTTCCACAGATGCTCTGTTGTTTAAAAAAGAAAATGGATTGTGGATGAGACACACTTTCTAAATACTGACTCCATATGTCTTTTGTTCTTTTTGAGAGAGTTGAAGTTCTGAGCTGAGACTTTTGTCTATTTATTGTACGTCTACTATTTTGTCTATTATTCTACATTTGTTCTTGGCACTAGCAAGTCTGAATGAGCTCTCATTTATTTTCAGCTCTACACCAAGGCACACTGGTCCTTTTTATCCGGACATGTCATTCTTTTAGTAAGAACACAGAAAAGGGGATATTAATCCTTGACATCATGAAGTGTTAATGGAGAAAAGATTTATAAATGACCGAAAAAATATATATATTTTTAACACTGACCACCTCTGTTAGAAACCTTTCTTCTAGTTCTTTGAAGCTTATCTAACCCACTTCATTCATTCATTCATTTGTTCATTCATTCAGTTAACAAACAATTAACTGTTTCTTCTGGAAGGTAAAATGCTAGCGTCAGTCGATGGTTGATGGTTGTTGGCCCCAATTCGGCGCCAACAGGAATCCCCAAGTGAGGGTGTGGTGAAGAAGGAAACTTTATTCGGTGCTAAATATCTCAGCTGTGATACTGCAGGGCGCGGAGGCAGCCGGGGAGCCAGACCCCTCTCCAGCTGGACATCTCCGCTCTGCTGTTCTCTTGGCCGGTCTGCTTTGCGTTGTGCTGGTCTGCTCTGGTCTGCTCCATTCTGTGCTGTCTGCTCTGGCCTGCGCTCACCTGCTCCACTCTGCTCTGACCCAGTCTTCAGTGGAAAGGGAAAGTACGCTCCCAGAGTCAGAGGGGAGCCAGCTTCTGTGGACAGAGAACGCTGTTCCTGGTCCCTGATTCGTCTGTCCTCATTCAAATGAAGTCTCCAGATCTTCACTTTGCAGTTTCATTGGTCCAAAAGACATTGTCCTGATTGGCCAGAATAGAGCCGCTTTGGTTGGTTGAAGCTGTACAGCTTGGATTGAGTGGAGAAAGCCTCAGTTCTGCTGGTTGAAATAGGGCTGAGGAACTCCTTTAGAAAGGGTGGCTCAGGTGGCAGACACGCAAGGGACAGGCAGTTCAGTGCGGAGGTGGGTAGTTCAGTGCAGGCTTCGCTCTGAAGTGCAGTTTGTGTGAGAGGCTCCTGTAGAGAAACGGCTGCTAGGCTCTGCTGGGGCAGGGTGGGGGGAAGTTGTGTGCTTTTTGTTTTTGTTTTGAGCCCAGTGAGCCACCAGGAGCCTTTCTTGGTACGCATCTTCTTTTTCGGTTCTACACTACTTCGGCCCACTTGAATTGCCATGTCTTTGAAGGGTTCAAAAAATCACCTAAATTTAAATATTTTTTACTATGCATTCCATGGGGACTGTTAGTAGGACTTGGTGGGTATTCGCCAGATTGAATGAAGAAATCTATATCTGGCATTACACCTTGAAAGGAAGAGGTGTAAGAGGAAGAGGTGAAGAGGAAGACAGACCACATACATTTAGGTTTCTTCTTCCACCATTACCTGCAGGCCTGCGCTTGTATTTTTTTGCTTCAAGACTCCTAGGAATGCATTTGCTGATCTATACATTGAACATAAATATAGTCAACATTTAATATTTTTAATGCTGTTACCTCCTTTTTGTAATAACTTGGTATCTTTTTACTGCCTTTATGTCATTTCCATTCTGATCATGAAATTTTATAAAACTTTGTCATTGACCGTATAGCTCTTCATTAACACAGGGTGGGGCAAAGCAGGTTTGCAGTTGTGAATACGTAAAGCCCTTGAGTTCATTCTTATGTTATTATTTATTATGTTCCATACACACAACTGTAAACCTACTTTGGCCCCAGTGAATCTAAAGACCACATTAAGTGTCTCTTAACAAGACTGAATTCACTGGGCCTGTTTTGAGGAGTTTGAGACATGCTCCTTAATGTCCGTCTTGACTGAGGTCTCGGAGGCATTGATCTCAGAGCTCGGTGACCTGTTCATCAGAGAGCTTGGTTATGTGGCCCCCTTGTCTCCCCCTGCTCCCCCTCCCCCTCCTTGTTTCCACCTGAATGATCCTTAGTTCAGGAGCGGAAGAACGTTAAGAACCCCTACATACGGGAAATGCAAGCAGAAGAGGAGTTCTCCGTCTCAGTTCAGAATGGAAGGAAACGAGAAAGTGCCAGGCGATGTTCCTGGGAAGGCTACTTGTTGCCTGTGTCCTTCATGTTTGGAAATTGAAAGGAAAGAGGTTTTCACCATGAGGTTTTTCATAATTTGCTCATTTTTTTTTCTTTTACCAGGTTTCACCAAAGCTCAAGCCAATGCAGCAGATCACGGCCTGACGTGGGGAGTAAACATTTGTCCCAAGCTGTGTGCTTTTCATTTTAACCAGATAGGATTTCATGGGAAGGTCATCAGTAATCATATTTGTATCTGGAACCAACAGTTTTTGACTAGATTTTTTAGCATTTTATACTTTATGCAGCCTGTTCTCTCAAGCATGCTAACACATTTTACTGAAAAACAAAAAGAAAAAATATGATTATCTTGTTTGTTTTCTAAGTGCTGAGAAGGATGTCTTCACAGTTGGTGCTCACGTTGGGTTTTTCTCATCTTCTGTGGCACCTACACTGAGTCGCCTGCGGTTGGTATCAAGATGGGCCGGCAGGAAGGGTTTCATTGACGTCCTTTCCCTCCAAACGAAGTGGTAAAGAAAAGAATGAAGAGAAAAGTAACTCCTCCCAGGGATTCCCGGGGCAGCACCGTGCTAGTCCTGAAAGACAACTGCATGGGAATTTTGATTAGGAGAAGTACTGTTATTCCTTCGGCCTCCTCTGACTTTTCTTTGGGAGCCTCTGGTTGTCTGATTGCATTGCTGTCCTAGGCCACCTCCCTTCCTCCCATCCTGCCTGTCACTAAACAGATGCCTACGAAGGAAAGTGGGAACATCACGGTGTGGGAGAAGGTAGCTCGTTCGTGGGAAAGAGTAATGGTGCGGGCCCGTTGGTGCTGACGTCCTACCAAAGGTGGCCTTTACTGACCAGCCCACCGCCCACCAACCATCAGTCCTTTGCCGAGTCCTCTCGGACCTGGTCAGTGCCCTCATTTTGAATCTGCAGTATTCATGTCTACCCAGACGGTCCTTCAGAGCCTTTCTCTGTGTTACTGAGGACCAGTGGGCTACTTGAACAATACTTGCTCTTAAGCCAAGAGGGCTGTGGGATAATTTATCATGAATCCATAGTCACAGTGAACACACAAGGTTTCTTTCTTTCTTTTTTAAAAATTCTTTCCAAGCTTCTTATTGGTGGTCAGAAAAGTTTCTAAATATTGAATGCCTTTTTCTACAGAACAGTGTCCTTTCTTCTGACCAGGCTACTTCCTTGAACAAAGCACTTTTAATTCGACTCTGCCCAAATATGGTACCGAAGGATGAGCAAATCCAGGATTCAAAGAGCGGCGGGCGCATTTTCATCGGTAGGAAGGAAACACTGTGGATTCGGTTTTGTAAGGGACTTCTTCTTAGAGGTACCCTCCGTACCCGACATTTCCCGGGGGTCACTAAGCATCCCGGCTACCAAACGGGCGAAAGGCCTGTTCTCCGGGCGTGGCAGGCCCAGCAGAGTGCAGCGCCGCCCCAGCACCCAGTATAGGCATGTGTGCACGTCTCCTGGTGATGGTTGTCATCGCAACTCACTTTCCCTTCCGATACAGCTACCGTGTGTCCTACAAGGTACTAGAGGCAGGGAAGAGGCATTTTTGTTTGTTTTTTTTTTGAGCAGCACACACCAATATAAAACAGTCTGTTCTACTGGCTTCATGGTTGAAAGCATACTCTTCCCAGTACGATAAAATGGCTCTTTTTGGACTTTGTCAGGTCTAGAGAATGATATATATCTATGCCAGAGTTATAATTGGGAAAAACATATGTCACTGATGGTTGCTATATTTGTAAACTTACTTGCTTATTATTCCAATGTGTTACTTTAAGATAATATGCTTCTAAGAATGTTCGCAGCTTTGGCAAAACCTCAGTAGATGTCTTTGTATTCTTGGTTAAAGAGTGCCATGGCTAGGTGAGAAATGCAATAAATATTCCAAACTGCTGCAGGTTGACGTGAGTGTCCTTTTCCTCATTGGCGTGGTTGACTGCACGTGGGGATAATGCCACGAGATCAGGACAGTGGCGGACAACAAAAGTCAGCACACTTTCCTGCTGCTACTCAGGTTGCTGCTTTTCTTCAAAAAAAAAAAGATATTGTCCTTCATGAAAATCAAATGAAATGTTTATCTAAATGAATTCTGCACGTCACCCCTTATCAGAGCCAGTCAGTGGTCTATAAAAATCGATTATCCCCCGGCTTTTATCTGACATTTCTCTGGGTACACATGCAAGTTAGTGTCCTGGTGGTGAGTTTGCCTGCATTTGGAGCTGGCTCCGGTGCTAGTCTGCTCAGCATCTGGGCTACCCCCCCCAATGAGAGACTCTCCCCCGGCCGAGGACCGCGTGTGCCCAGGATGTGCCATATTGGGTAGCGCTCCTCTGTCTACAGTACTTATCCCCAGGGGTTCTATGCCCCGGGATGTACCGGTCAGGTTGTTTCTTCCGAGTATAAAAACCGAATGAGAGAGAAGCCGATTTTCCTATTCCTTTCTGGTCACTAAGCCATAAGCCTGGGACTCTGATCCCGACACCCCTGCCCCCGTCCCTGCCCCCAGTTCCAGCACACACTCTACCAGCTGAACTCTGGTGTGGGGGAAAGAGGCTGAAACACTCTAAGTCCCTGAGCTGCAGGGAGGGAGCATCCTGCGACCCAGGATGGGTTCTGGATGTGCCTACGACCCATCTCCCTCCGACTATGCTGCAGATGAGCCGCACATGTCCCTGAGCTGCCTTTTTGTCACTTACAACCAAAGTGTGAACTCAACTTTCGTAATCCTCCAATCCCAGGAAGGATCTGATCTCTCATAGAAGTCAGGCAGAGTATGAGCAAAGCTGCTTATACCCGGGTCCACAGAACACAGTAAGACTGTGGGTGGGTAGTAAGGTTGCGGGTGGAGGCTTTCTTCCAATTTCAGTGTAGTGAGCACAACTGAAAACCATCCCCGTGGGAGTAGAGGCAGAGATTTATTCAATGGATGGGTTTCTCTCCACTCACCCCCTTTCCTTACAGGGTATGGTTTTGAGTTTCTTACATTTCAGGTTCTCCATCTTTAAAATGGGGTGTGTATACTGTTTCCTACAATGATTTTCTAAGATATAGTTAATACATGTGGTTACAAAACCACATGTTTTATCACGTGCATTTCTTACTTATGGGTAGATCTTTTTAAAGATGCTGTACCATACTATTGCCTTGGGCCAGAGTTATTCATTGTTCCTTTTTATTTTGCAATGTCTCCACTGCCTTCCCGCCTTAGACCATACTGAGCATTAAAGTGAGTTTGAGCCTGAATAACGGTAAATGCGATGGACTCTGAATGCACATCTGTGTGACGTGTACCTGAAGTCTCCTGGTTCCTTCAGTGTCATCTACATCTGACTAAAGAAGTTCGAAGAAGTCGCCCTCTCTGGGCCACACAGCAAGTCCTGTGAGAGTGGGAACCAGGGAACTAATTCATAAAACAATTCACTTCCTCAAAGCCACGGTCAAACACAAAAGATACTTGGTTGTGGAAGTTAAATATGTGTGATGATCATGGTCATTACTACCTTTGATGGGTGCTACTCTGGACTGTTTACTTGGAAAGGACTGCAGGCAACTGTCCTGACTCTTTTGTAGCATGACCCACAGGGGGTCCGTAGGGACCACTTTTCTTTCCATGGACACATGGTGCGCCGGCTGCCCAGTGCAGTCCTTTTTTTGCACTTCGTGCATTTGTAGGCACTCCGTTTCTTACCCTTAAAATTTTCAAAAGAAAATTTGGGAATGGGGGATAGCATCTTCCACTTCACCTTCTTGGAGTTAAAGTGCCAAGTAGCTCTCTTTAAATCTTCTCAGAAATTCTCCTTTCCTGTTTTTTAATGATTATTTTTGTAAACTATTGTTGACACTGTTACAGGTGTGCCCGTTGTCCCCTTTACTCTGCTCCACCCAGCCCCTGCCCCCACCCCTTGGCCTTCCCCACATTCCTTTACTCCCAGCACTTCTGTGTGTTCAGTGTAAGGTTTTCGGAGTTGTCTAACTCATCCTCAACCAGGTATTTCAGAGTGTATGCAGAGTGGCCTCACTTTAGAATGTAGGGTACAGCATGTGTATGTTGTAGCATCTTGTATTAGTATAACAACTCCACGATTTGCTCGTGGTAGGTTTCCAAATACGTTTGTTGAATCCGTTTACTATTTGGAACATGTTGCTGGCTGGGTCTGAGGGTTTCCCTCAGCTACACAAGGAGGTAAGGCCTCTGAGGAGGAGCAATGAAAGCAAAGAGAAAGAAGCAAGAGGTGGAGGCTGGAGGCTGCAGCTAAGGAGGAAGGAGATCTGAACTGCCTGTTTAGCCTTTCATGGTCTACAAGACCTCTGAAATGTGCTGGCCGTCTTACTCCTTTCTCACAATAACCTGCCAGGGAGACATTATTATCACCATTAAAATTAACTTCATTAGCCTGAAAGAAGTCATGACCATCAATTCTTGAATCAACTTGGCCTTTCAGGGGTAACGTTGGATTTTGCCAGGGCAGTTCAGGATAGCACTGGACTTGTTGCTCTCTAGTGAGCTACCATACAGAGTCCACAACCTGTACAACTTAATGGGATAAGTCTTGAAGTTTGGTTCCTGTCCACATAGCTCTTGTGCACAACCTAGTTTCTAAGGACATGAGTATTTGTCAAAATAAAAAGGCTGATAGTGCCCACCGGGCAAAACGCCCCTGTGGAGGACGTGCAGTTACTAGCTTTGCTCAGATGCAAGGCCCGTGACTTGGACCACAGGGACGCACACTCAACTGACCAGCAGGAGAGGCTGAGGGACACTGTGCCGTCTTTGTGAACGAACACCTGTCTGCAATCGGTTTCATTGGCGTAAATTTTATCTATGTTCAAAGTCAGAGTCGGGGCTCAGACTCATCCTTTTGACCCTGGAGATAAGGTTGGTACTGACAACCTACAGATGCATGTTCCTGGCGACTTGGAGAGAATACTGCTCAGTGAGGTCTAGTGCCATCCCTTCACCAGAGAACACGGGTCCGAGGAAAGAAGAAAACTGGCCGCAGGGTTGGAGCCTGTGGGGGCGGGTGTAGGGGTGGGAAGGCATTATGGCCAAGACATAACGGATGAGGACATTTAGCCATTACTTTTATATTTCTTTGCGTATAGGACCACCAATATTAATTTATTTATTATACTAAGATCATTATGCTCTTAATAAGTGCAGTATTGTGACCTGTAGGGGCAATGTAATATGGCAGATTTCTACAACCTAGTCTTGTACGGTTGGAACTTTCGTGGTGTGGAACAGCAGCTCCTCATTTCCGCTCCCCCAGCCCCTAGGAACCAGCATTTGACTGTCTCCATGAGTTTGGCTGTTTTCAGTAGCTCATGTCAGTGGGCCCATTGCTGTGTGTGTCCTTCTGGGACAGGCTTCTTTCACTTAAGTAGAGTGTCCTCTGGGTCCGTCCTTGTTGGCACATATGGCAGGATTTCCTTCTCTTTTATGGCTGAAAGTGTGCTCGTATGTGTGTACCAAATTTTTTTATCCATTTATCCATCGATAGACATTTGGGCTGTGTCTATAGCTTGGATATTGTGAATATTATTTCTTTTCAATGGGGTCTGCACCATTTTTCATTCCCACCAACAGTGTACAAGGGTGCCAATTTATTCCCATCCTTGTCAACAATTATTATTTTTTAAAGATTTTATTTATGTCTAAAGAAGGGAAGGGAGGGAGAAGGAGGGGAAGGGAAACATAACGTGTGGTTGCCTCTCACGCAACTGAAACTGGGGACCTACCTGCAACCCAGGCATGTGCCCTGACTGGGAATAGAACTGGCAACCCTTTGGCCCTTTGGTTCATAAGCTGGCTCTCAGTCCACTGAGCCATGCCAGCTGGGGCTTATTTTTTTTTTAAATAATACCTATCCTAATAGGTGTGAGGCGATAATTAATTGTGGATTTGTCTTGCATTTTCTTGATGGTTAGTGATGATGAACACCGTCTCATATATCTCTTGGCCATTTGTATGTCTTCTTCGGGGAACTGTTCAAATTCTTCGCTTACTTTTAAATTGGGTTATTTAAGTTTTTGCTGTAGAGTTGTAGGAGTTCCATGTACATATATAAATTTGCTTTTGTTGCCTGTACTTTGGTGTCATATCCAAAAGTTTATTGTCAAGAAGACCAGTGTTCAGAAGCTTTTCTTCTTGTTTTATTCTAGGGTTTATAGATTTAGGCTGTATGTTTAGATCGTTAATCCATTTGCGTTATTTTTATGTATGGTATGAGATAAGGGTCTAATTTCATACTTTGGCATGCAGACACCCAGTTTTTTCGTCATTTGTTGAAGAGACTTTTCTCTCTCTATTGTGTATTCTTGGCAGCCTGGTTGAAGATTTGTTGACCACATATGCGTGGGTTTATTTCTGGGCTCTCTATTCTATTTCACTGGTCAGTATGTCTGAAAACACCATCAATTTTAAAATGCACTTTGCTTTTTTATCACTTACAACAACATCAATCATGTTTTATCCAGCTGACAGACATCAACAGCAGTTAATAGCCCAAGGAAATCTACCTGTCTTAAAGTTGGTGCATTTACAATCCAGGGGCTTCCCAATGACAAGAGGATTCAAGCTGCCAGGGGACAGGTTGTGGGGGAGGGGCCAGGTCAGATGAGTTGGCAGGAATGGAGGCGCCCACCTCCCCTGGAGCAGCAGGTCGGCCAGAGTGGGAGGAGCCAAAGCCTTGTTTGTGGGCTGCAGCTCCTTCAGAGCTGAGGAAATGGGGGAAATTGCTCACTGTAGAATCGATGAGCAGGAGGAGGTCCTCCAAGGCCTCTCTGAATTAGCATAATATCAATGAAGGATGTTCTAAAGAAACACACTGTTATAGATTTCAAGTATGTACAGAAATGGTTGCATAGGAAAAGACCCGTAGGACCCTGCTGTGTGGATCGGAC